CATTGAAAAAAGCAGGCTATTGTTTTCAGTATCTTGCATCTTGTTTTATATTTTTCCATCATAGAGGAATACATGTAGTGTACACAATGATTTGAACATTGTTGAATAATTCTGTAAACTGCGAATATGTAATACAACTTTTTCATCAGTTCAAAAGCCTCAGTATTATTGAATTAATTGAGCATTGCAGTAATTCCTGATTGAACATCTGATTCCTCGCAGGGTGCCTAACTGTAACCACAAGGTGATGGTGAGCTTGTGATAAAATTCAATTTAACACAAAATGTGCTGTTGTTTGACACCTTTTCTGCTTTAACCTTCTTTCAGAAAGTACGATCATTTTGGCTGTTTTGTACATACAAAATGCAATACCTCATTAATAATTAATGATGTTTAAACATAGGACATCATGACCGTGTTGGTGTTTGGATATCTGATCTTATTAACATAGATTTTTACCACTTTATTTCTCCATTTTCCCCTTAGTTTTAGTTTCAATTCAGAAGATATATCAAACACTCAAGACAGCATTTGACCACATTTCTTAACACCTCGAAGTTCGTCAAAAATACTCTGCTGCGCATCATATTTTCAACTCTCTTCTCAGTGTTTGGAAATGTGGTCAAACATGGTCTTACATGATTGATACACTACTTCCATACTACTATTGATTAAAAAAAAACATGACACAATGGGAACAGAGTAACCATAATGGAATGTGGACAATAATGATGTCAGCAGGTAAAGCAGACAGAGAGATAGTCCTTGTGATTTTAGATCTGCAATTGAACATTTTCAAAAAGAGAAATTTTTTAACAAGGATTTCACTGCACAATTAAGCCTGTTGTAGCTTGGAAAATAGTCCAGACCTTTTCCAGACCTTTTTCATTAATTAAAGACTACATCTTTATTTTCTATACTTTCTCCAGATCAGGTAAACTACAGGTGACACTCTCTACAGTGGCTACATTGGGATAGAAATAGCTGACCACAGTTAAGCATACTGACCACAGTTGTCATTCTGCACGGTCTCAATATCATATTTCCTTCTTTTAACAGTAGTCTCCATAAACTTTTGTTTCTCTCTCAAAACAGGAAGATTAGGACAAAGGTGAGGAAGGAAGAAAGTAGCTGCACCCTCATCAAAGAAAGTGTTGCCTATAGCATCATCTCTAATGGCCCACAACACCTGGCAGCCATGCATTTCATATCTGAAAGCAAACACAAGTCTTTTTAAGCAAACTTGAGCAGTAAATTAACAAGTTAACTAAGGTAGCTTTTTATCAACAACAATTTTATTGAGCTTTCATTTAATATGTTTGTCTTACATGATCACACCATGTGCTGCAAACAGGGCAACAAGTAAATGTACACCCACATGCAGTTTGCAATGATTATGTTACAGACAAAACATGGTGTTCACAATGGTATCACATAGTATGTCATCAATCTGCGATATCCCCATGTAAATGTTGTTGTGTGATTATTTGTTTTAGCAAAAGAGACAGACTTTCCACAAGTCAACATCTTCTAAGCGATGAACAGGAATGACAAAGTGTTATAAGAAGCAATAAAGTTGTGAGAAGTCAATTTCACTTCACACCCATATTTTGCATCAACAATGATGACAATGAAATTCACTTGTGTAGGCAAGACGACTGCCTGTGCAAGTTTGCATTTGAATGTTGTTGCCATGAACATATGGCTGTGAAGTCATGGTTAAGTTGGTAAGTCAACTGCTCCAGACATGGGACCAGTGATAAGAAGCAGTATTGAATTATTTTGCAAGCCTTGTGTAAATAATATATGATAGATAAAAAAGGGCTCAAAATTGCTGCTTTCCTGTGTAAGTCTGTTTTACTGTTTTATTGTTAGTATGAGAGCAAGTCATCATGCCACTTGTGTTAAAGCTTGGAAGCAACAAATGTTGTGTTGAACTCTTCCTTTTCTACCTCATGTCCATGTGACCAAAGCCAAGTAGACACAAGGATAAGGAGTGAGTTAGGTACATTCCTGTGTAAGACAGGAATGTACCTAATGTACACGTGGTTCAGGCAACTTGCAGGTTAATCAATTTTGGCTACCAAGGACAGGTATGAAACCAACCATGAATTGACAGCGTTTGGTTCGAATTCACCCACGCTGTAAAGATTCAAGACAATGTTAAATTATTTTTTTACCGGGACTGGGATGTAGACCCTATAGACTTGAGCATTTGTAGCCATTTGTGACAGGCCATTTTTAGCATTACTTTTATTTTGTTAGTGTCAGAGGCCTCTGTTCATGCAATTCGCTTGGGTTTAAATCAAATTTGACAACAAATTACAAGCTTAAAACATTGAAGTGATGGGTTTCAGTCATGCAGAAAAATCCAAAGATGACAACAAGTGGATTAAAAACTAACCTCCAAAGTGCATTTTCTGCAAATAAACAAACAGGTATAACTCACAAAAATTAATCATTAGGTCTACGATCAATATATCACTGTATATATACCACCATGGGTCAGATCAGGGCATCACGCCAGATGGAATATTTTTGCATTGATTTTGTAATGCTACCAGAAGTGTATCGCTTGCCTTCTGTTTACTTTGCACAAGAGTAGTCTGTACATTATTCTCACTAACTGGTTGTCGATTCCTTTGATATCAATATCATTTCAATCCATGAAATAAAGCAACAAACAACAGATGTAAGCTTAAAATTGTCTTAAATACAGAGCTGCACAAATGTCCTGAAATGGAAGACATCTGTGACAATCTGTTTTAAGAAACCCTTTTGATGAAGGGTTGTAAATACTGAAGTCTCACTAAATGAAAACGAATTAAAGGAAGTGAAAATGCACATGTATCCTGTCTACTTGATCAAGCATTATGTTTGCCTTACACTTGTTTGGGTTGACAGTGGATTTCTTTGAACTAAACAAGTGACACAAGACAGCCCAGCCATAAGGCCTTTGATTTACTAGTTTTGACATTGCCATTTAATGAATCAATGAGTATAATTTCAGTCAGTGAATGACAGAGCATAAGACGTTGAAATGGGGTGTCTTGAAAACTCAGACCTTGAAACCTCAGACCACAGACATTAGAACTCAAAAACTCAGAACCCTTAAGAACCTGGATTGAGTAGGAATCATTATATGTATTGCTAATGTTTCAAGTAACGAAATATCCCTGAGCAATAAAATTCTAGTCATGCAGTCACCCTGAACAAACTGCAGGGTCTTGGAGTGATGAATGGCAAACATGAGTGGTTTAGAAATTACCTACAGTAGTGCACCCGAATTGTAGAATTTCAGGGTGTGTCTACTGCTGCTGAACCTGTATCTGTTGAAGTTCCACAGGGGTCAATTTTAGGGTCACTGTTATTTATACTCCACCTGAATGATCTTCCCAGTGCGGTGGTGGAGTGCAGTATTCTCATTCTCATCTCATCATAATGTAGAATTTTTCTCAGCTCCTGAAGTATCTGCTATCCGGGCTACTTTAGTGAAGGAGCTGCATGCCATTGAATGTTGGCTTCACTTAAATAGTTTATTTATTAACATAACTAAGACTGAGGCAATGTTGTTTGGGACTCTGCAGAAACTTGCTAAGATAAATCAGTTCTCAGTCACTATCAATGGGTCTGCCATAAAGTGCATTACTGAGTTTCAATATTTGGATGTTATCTTTGATTAACACCTCAGCTGGAATGAACATGTTACAGCTATTGTTTCTAAGGCTGGTAGATGGGGTTGGTATGCTAGGTTGTGCACGGTGCTACATCACATTACATAGTGCTAATGGCATTTATATTTCAATGATTAGACCCATATTAGAGTATTACGCTAGGGCCTGGGCGTGTTGTGGGGAAGTAAACAGCAGAACTTTAGAAGCTCTGCAGAAGCGAGTAGGAAGAATAGTAATAAAGACATCTAGCAGTGACACTGCTATGGAACTTTAAAATGGCCAAGCCTTAGGACCAGGCACGATGAACATATCCTTAAGCTTGTGAGGAAATGCATAGATGGTCAGTGTTTACAATACGGCATCGGTGTTTACGGTTGTTTACAATAAGTATATTAATGCTCGCCCAACCCAGCAGAGTAATGTTTTACATCTGCCTGCAATAAGAATGGAGACAGCCAGGAGATCTTTTTATTATCATGGAAGTACGGTTTTTCATAAATACTCTAAATGTACTTAAATTTGAAGATTTTACTATGGTAGTTATAGGCTTTTGATATTTGTTGTAATATACTTTCCTATATTTATGTTGTTACTTTTGTATATATCCTATTATTGTGTAATCTACGTTAGGTAATAGCATCAGGGCTCCTATTGATAGCGCAGATGCTTTGTAAGCTCCCTGAAGAGACTACTCTGAAATTTTTACCTTTAGATTTTTACCTTTAAATAAAGGTGTCTATCTATCTATCTACCCTACATGAGAAATGAATTTCATTGGCTACCAGTGAGTTGCAATTTTGAGCCCCGAAAAATCTCTCACATCACGCTTTGAATGGCTGATAAAAATATACAAAAGCAATGCAACTAGAGAAGATATTTTGTGTCACGTGAAAGAAAAATGACCCACAAACCTATAGCATAACCTTAAATAAACATCCACCACCCTTGTAGACAGTAGTTTCAGTCTTTTTAACCCCCAAACCATTAAACAATTTGACATACTTTATAGTTTTCTGAAGTTAGGTTCTTATTACTTACTTGTTAATAAAATAACACAGAACTGACCAAGCCATATAAAACTTGATGTTTTATTGAGGTGGCCTCCCCTATTAGCCTGGTGGTTTTTCTGAGAGTCTCCTCACCCTGTCTAAGCTAATGGAATTAATAAATACTTCATGTGAGGCATTAAATGATGATGATGATGATGACGATGGTCACGATAAATATCTTTGAACTTACACAAGTTCCAATGCTATTCCCCCATTGCCAACAATTACCACTCTGCGAGCTTTTGAAAGCCTACTTTTCAGTTGCTGCACACTCTCTGTGTCACGGATGCCAATGACGTGAGGATGTTCAGTGATGATGTTTGGTCTTCCTCCTGTGCAGATACACAGTTTCTTGTAAAAATATGTGTTGCCCATCTCAGTACCAACACTGTGTTCTGAACAAATAAAC